TACAAAAAAAAAGAAGATCTATCAGCGTTTCAGATGCAATTATTTAGAGTGGTTACGTTCAGATTATTTGATTTCCTCAATTATCTTGCATAATTGTATAGATCACGTGGAAATGATTTAGACGATTGTGGAACTTAGGGGCTTGGAGCATGAAAAGCGTGTTTAGGTTACAGATCTGATAGCATGCAACCTAAAACAGACGAATCTGTCTCCGATTGGAAGGTGTGAGAGGTTAGATTATAACGGTGATAATTATAATGATTGAGTTAACGAATTTGCAGTTGTGGAGTGATGAATTATATGAGTAATTAGCGAAGCAGAGAGTAGAGCTAGTATAGTGTGGTGAGGTACCCTTGCCGGAGGTAGGTCGGAAAGTGAAGGTGTGGTGTTTTCGGAGCTTGCCGAGACCGTTATCGGGCCTTGGGCCGGCGACGGTGTCGTCCCACAAGTGGTCGAGGAGGCCCATATGGATCAGGCGTATTTTAGCAGATCCAAATGACCAAGTCGAGGAGTGTAAGAGATACAACCACGCCCCATGGATGCCATATTTAATGGTGGCCGGGCGTTAAACCTCGAACAACTTCATGGGCTCAGGAGAGATCTGAACCCTGCGTTGGATCCAGTGACGTGGACACGTGGATCGGCGTTCGCGTTTTGATAAGGATTGCTCAGCGTATGCGTACTCGAGGGGTTGACACGTGATATTGCTTTTGGGTCACGTGACAAGTCATTTTCTTTCTCAGGTGGGTGGATTAGTTCCAGGATACTTCCTACTTATACATATACCCCTATCTTTTATCCAAATCGATAAGATAAGTCCTTCATTTTCTTCTATTTACATACGCTGACCTTATCATCTTCATCTCTTATCATCCCTTCAAAAGGGACCATTCGAATATAACTCTTTTAAAGGGGAAAAAAATCACTTAAATTAGACCAAATAGCCCACCATGATATTTGATTTTTATGCATTATTAAAATGTTAAAGTTTCAATTATTAATTTTTAACTAATTTTCATCGCATCTTATTTTATTTTTTAAATTGTACTTTATAATTTAAAGGACTCAAATATTTATTCTGAAGTTGCAAATCTTTAGCATAAATTGACAATATAAAGTTAATAAATGAAAATACCAAATCATACAATGAAAAAAGGGACATGAGGGAAATGGTTGATGCATTATTATAAAGCTTTACATTGTCATCTTCATGTAAATGTAATATAGGGACACGTGTATAAGGTATCATAATGCTCTACCTACTTATATTCGGAATGAAAATAAGGTATATATAAAAGCAAATATCTCTATTTATTTCTTACTTCTTAATTAGCATGTTTGAATTTTTTATTTTTTATTTTGGTCTATTAAGACATTAGAAGAGCACCTAAAAAATATCTCTATTTATTTCTTACTAGTTAATTATCGTTTTTTTCTTTCACATAATGATAGTTTGGTAGGGTATTATAATATCAACTTTTAAATCCATATTTTAAAAAAATATAAATCCAACTTAAATCTAAACCCGTATAATAAATAGCCATATTCATTACTCCCATTTTAATTAACTATAAAAAAATTACTGAAATATTAATTAAAATACATATATAATTTAATTAAAACACTATTTAAATATATTTTATTAAATATTATAAATATAACAGTAATAATACATGTAGAACAAAAAAATTATATAACAGATTGGCTCACATTATATGAACAATACAATTAGCTCACATTACAATTCATTACTCTAAATATAATATAATACATTATAATTAATTTCTACAGTAAGTGTGATGCGTCATTGGTACACATATAAAGTGACCATCTAATCGGATTGGGTCGCAAGCGTACAACCTTTCTCTCTCTGCAATACCTTGAACAAGAATAGGCTTAAATATGTTCTAAGTCGGTCAAATTTAGGGAAAATCTAATTTTGAATCTTTAAATTTAAAATTGTTGTTTTTAGTCTTTATAATTTTAAAAAATCTTTTTTAATTTTTATATTTAAATTTTGTTAAAAAATTTATCAAACATTATTGCATAAAATTTACCTATTAATATTCTTATTAATAAAAATATCACATTAAATCTGGTTAATATCGTATAATTATTTTAATTAGTCACTTTCAAATATGTTATTGATAATCTAAGGAACTAAAACAAGATTTTTCAAAATTACAAAAATTAAAAATAACAATTTTAAATTTAAGGAACCAAAAATAAATTTACCTTAAATTTGAGGGACTAAAAATATATTTAAGATCTTAAAATAAAGTGATAGTTTTATATTTAAAGCGAGAAAATAGGAAATGAAAATAGAAGTCAATGGACCGTGGTTAATTTATATCTAAAAAAAACTTGAAATATAGACTATTTTTTATGAGTTTTATTTTATTTTAAACAGTCTTTTTCAAAAAATCAGTTTTAGCCATCGATGTTGAACCATCAAGTGTACGTGCATCATCAAAACATCCTCAAAACCGAGTGAAAATACTTTGTAGAAATTGTGAGAACCTTATTTTAGTCTCTAAATTTATTAAATGTTGCAATAGCATTCCCCGAAATTACAACAAATACACCTTAAAAAGATAACTTAAATATTAAATTAAGTATAAAATATTTTAAATCAATTTTATAATTTCTTAACAATTAACACAATGCACTTCGAAATTTATGAGTTCATAAAAGGCAAATGACAAATTTTATCCCAGTTAAGGAACAATCTCCTTTCTTATCATGCACGTGCCAGACATTTCATCCTCCCCAGAGAATACCCTAAAACACTGAATCAATGATATATGGCAACGTAAGCCAATAGAAAATAACTTCTCGCATTAAATTAAGAGTGTAAAATCAACACATTCCAATAATTCGAGATCAACCAAAATTCGTTACTAAAACTACAGTTTCGTTACTAAAACTACAGTTCTTATTGTACAAAATTGAGTTTCCAAAGAGATCAACATTATTATCGTTACTAAAATTATATTGCAATAATTTATCTATTTTTTCCACGGCAGGAATTATTTTGTTTGCAATCTTAAATGGACACAACACAACATAATGTCAAAAATACCATAATTCTCTTGATGTCAAAAAGAACAGTTATATGGGCGGAAAAGTCTATATATGAATTCAAAACTCATTCTCTTAAATAACCATGGCAGTGAGAATTAAAAAAAAATACAGTTCTTTCACCATCATAACAAAGATACTGTTCTACTAAAGCTATCAAAAAACATAAAAATTTAACACCATTAATGCAAATTCCTTCAAGTTCCGAGTCAAACAAGGCCCACAGGTCCTGAAAATATGCAAAGACAACCAAAATGTAATTTCAAGGTCAATTGGGACAATGTAGGATTAAATCATGGCAACATAATAATACATTAGATTTATAACTTATTATGAACAAAAACAGCAAAACTACAATAAAATTAAAAAACCAATTTTATTTAAGAAAATGAAGCTGTTAGACAATTACATTGCAATATATCTCCATGGATAAAGGAGAAGGTTCAAGTAGAAAGGTTTTTTAATTGCTATTCACACGCATAATCCTGTGAATTGAATTAGTAAAACTAGGTTCCCAAGAAAAATTGTGCGACCTCTTTACAAGTCATTTAACTCATCAACTTTATTAAATAGGACAGATAAAACACACAATATACAATAGAGTATGTGAAGAAATAGAATTGTCACTAAATGAGACAAGGTGGCAAAAAAATAACAACAATCAGTTCTGAGATAATGTGAAAGTTTTATATAATCATGCCTTCAAGACCTTAATATGTGCAAAAGCACTAACATCACAACTTATAGCACGATCATTTTTAAGAAAATGAATGAAACTGTAAGCCAATTACATTGGAGCAAATCTCCAAGGAAAAAGGAGAAGGCTCAAGCAGAAAGGTTTTTCACTTGATATCTGCACAAATAAAATCCTGGGAATTGATTTAGAAAAACTAGGTTCCCAAGAAGAACTATGTGCAATGTTTTTTTATAGAAAGTGTTCAAATCATCAATTTCGTTTCATGAAATATGGAAATACAAAAGATAAAAGACAGAAAATACAACGGAGTTTGAGAATCACCATTGAACCAAAAGAGATCAGGAAAAAAATATGGAAACAGTCAATTGTGAGACATCACCAAACTAGAAAAGCAATTTTAATTTCAAACAAGATCTAATTATACCATGTGAAAACCAGTATTATAATATTCCTTCAAAACGGATCCATGAACTGAAGAAGCATGTTACTAATAGTGTGCAAATTAATAACATATATGAATCTTGGGCAAGGTAATTTCATCAAAAAACAAATAGGATCCATATCAATTCAGGTTATATTAAACTAACTAAATTAAAAGAAAAAAAATTAATGTTTACAGTAGTCTAGTAACTAGTTGAGACAGAGAAGGAATTGTTCCTGCATAGGATGGGATTGATTGGTTCAAAAAATCAATTTTTTCATCATCCATTTCTTATTTATTCATTGATTAGTACACTAGTTTGGATGGCATCAACACAGAGATATGAGTTTTCAACATACATTACATACTGAGGTATAAAAAACGAATAAAACGGTGAAATTACCTCATATATTGCTTGGGTACATAAAGACTCTAACCCTCGCTCCCTGCATATTCATCAACAATCAAAACTGAGAAACCACAAAAAATGAGGAAAAAACATAAAGGAATTATATGTCCGAAAAATTACCATTGATCTGGGTGGCAAATTGGACTTGAACTTAGCACGGACTATACCACTGTTACCATGAGGCCTGGTAACCTTGCCCCAAATGCAGCGATAGTGGGTTCCGTTCTTCTTTACCTTGGCTTTGTAAATGTAAGCCATGCGCTTCCCGCAGTAATAACCTACCTCTTCCTTGGAGTTGACTCCCTCAATCTGGATTAAAGAGGTATTCGGGTATTGATTTGACTTGGACCTGAACAACAACAGTTAACACAAATGATGAAGTCCTACTACCTCTCTAACCTAAAACTGTTAATGTTGAAGAATTGAAAAACACACCTCTTGTATCCAAGAATTGAACCCCTCACGTAAAGCCTGGTATAGGAGAAAAAACAAGGACAATGTAAGTCTATAACCACAGATCGAGGAATTGGCATAAACAAGTGTAGTGTGCAGAGGGAAGAGTTAGATCCTAAACCTGACACGCTCTCCTTGCCGTCCCTTAACCATCTTGCTGCTCCTCCTCCTCCTCTTCTCTGCTTAACCTAAACGTCTCCAGCTGCATCACTTTTAGGGTTTTTATTATACAATATGGGCCAATTAGGGTTTTCTCCAAGGCCCATTCATTTGGGCCTTTTGCTTCCTCTTCTTTCTTTCTCCCATAAACTACTGCTACCTATTTTAACTCTTCATAAATCCTATATTTATTAATTATTATTTTTAAAATAAATAAGTATAAACAATTTGTGTGCTAACTCTGGGATAATTGTTTTAAAAACTACAATCAGTCCATGGTTTACAAGTTGGGGTGAAATTGGTATTAAATATTAAAAATATCAATTTTATAATACTAAAAACTAAAAATTAAGAATAAATTTATGCCTTCTTAACATTTAAAATATATACAAATTAATTATATTATAATAATTTATTCTAAGTTTTACTAATACACGTCAATATTATTAACAATAATAAATTTATATGTAAAATGATGAAAAAAAATTTGACACATCATTTACTTTGATTTTTTTTTTTAAGACAATAATTTTATTTTTTTTTTTAAATTGTAAACTTGCCAAAAATCCTATGACAACTACTACAGATGCATAAGTGGGACAAGGAGTGAAAGATGTGAGTCCAAAACTCTTTATTGCTCGAAATTTGAATAAATTTCATTACGAGTGATTCATAATTTGTCATCTTTGTAATCAGGAAGATTTTCTATTCTACTTTCTACAGACCATAGGCAAAGGAAACATCACAAATGGCTGGCTACCTTATGGTCTACACCAGTACAGGGTTAAATCAAATGAAAATTGGAGTATGCAGTTAAATTGCTTTAAGGGTCTATTTTATTTATTTGTTTGAATTTCTTATTTATTTCAGTGTGTGAAATGTATATTAACATATGATTCATGAAATTGCAGATAAGTCACATGGTTGCTATTGCAAAAACCATGAAAGCCAGGTATATATTTTCATCTGCTTTAGTTTCATCACATGTACCTCTCTAATTTTGTATGCTTTAATTTTATTATCTCATATATTTTAACCATCAATCAAATGACATTGACATTCTCAACAAAAATTAAAAATATCGAAAGAACTTTGCTGAAAATTTAATCAGATAATATAAGCATATATTTTATTTTCACCCATACTATAATCTCATGATATCATTTTTAAAATTATCTAGGTAGATTCACCATCTATTTTACGAAGATATTAAATTATCCCTATATTGAATGTAATAATAATATATAATATGATAAAGGCACTTGTTCTTATGAGTTCAGTCATTCACTCCTTTGTGGGGGACCAGGGCTCAAATTGTGAAGGGGCCTATATAAGTTGTGGCTGATTTCTTTTTAGTTTTTTGTTGTTGGAAAGTTGTGGTTGATTTTAAACTATAAATTAAATATCATAAAAACTTTATTTCCCTGTCATCTTTTTAATTGTGTTTCCTAAGTAACATCTTTTTTACAGTTTCAAATTTATATTAGTTGTCATTTAGCGATTCACTTTTCTTAACAAAATTTTTATAAAAATTAATATACAATTAACTAAATTAATAACAATATACTAGGTTATTAATATATATCCTAATAGTTAGATGGAAAGGGATTGAAATAATTAAAAATATGAAAACTTAGGTTCAATTATCATTACAACTATCTTTATAATTTTTTTTTTAAAAAAAAATAATAAATTAAGGGCTACAATAATATTTTACATTCATTCTAATTTTGATTAGTAAGGATGAAAGGTCATGATGGATTATTTCTTTAAACCATTTTTTTGGTTCGTTCCTGAAGTATCCACCGCCGCCGGCAGTGACTAATCTCCTCGCTACGTTGGAGGCACCTCAAAGGGACCCCTGACCTTGCTTAAGCGTAAATCAACCGCTGAACCACACGCTTGGAGTTATTTCTTTAAACCATTTAATAACTACTATAATATTATTTATAAAAAGTTGTGAAAAAGTTGTGAAATAATTTTAAAAAATAAGGTTAATGCATTGAATAAAGACAAAATAATCTGATATAATGAATTTTAAAATTAAACGAACTAGATTGTAACGTATGTTAACCTTTCATCTTATGAGAATGGTGTGTAATTTTAAAAATTCTTTAAAAAAAAACTAGTTTTAAATATATTTTTAGTTCTTGTAATATATATATTACATTTTGATATTTTATTGTTTTATTTTGGTACTTATAATATTTTTTGTCTTGTAATTTGTAAAAAATTTATTTTTAAAAGGACTAACCCAAAATAAAATAAAATATTATAGGCCTAAGATAAAAAAAATGATATATTATAAGGATTAAAATAAAATAAAATACCAGGAAAAATATTAAAATATATATATACAGACCATTTGAAAAAATAATTTTACAAGAACTAAATAAAAAATAATATATTATAAAGGTTAAAAATATAAAATTTAAAAATCTGATAAAATGAGTGTAATTTACTCTACCTTTTACCTACTACTATTATTGTATTTAGTATAAATCTAATTGAATGCCTTTATTGAATTTATAAAGCAATCCCAAAAATATCGATTTTGTTACATAGAGTAATATACTCGTCAAGTTGAATGTCTTAAATTTCAAATGCTGATTCTGTTGAAGAACAGCTTGCAAGTTACTATTAGCCTTAGCTGTAGATAAAACATCACGGTCGATATTTTCTAAAGCCAGTTAAAAATAAAATCATTACACTTATCATTTTATTCATTTAAATAATACTAATATATTTATGATATAATTAAAATTTTATAATAAATTATACATAGAAGTTGATTTAAATACCCAAGTTAATGCATGTTTGAATTATAATTAGAAAATAAAATTGAATTGAACTTAATTTTTTAAAAAAATATTTTTTAAAAGTTCTGATTCAACTAAAAATTACTTATATGCAGAATAAAAAAAATACTAAATATTTAGATAGTGTTTTCAAAATCAACTAATTAAGATGACTAGTTTAAAATGTATAACGAAACAAAGATGGCCTTGTTTCAGGGAAGAGCAGGGACCCTTTATTAAGCCGAATGACAATAATTATCGGAGGCAGTCGTTTTCATCAGAAACTCCATATTTTGTTGAGCTAAGCCTAATGGTGTGTAATACAGCAGTCTAAGTCTAGTTTACGTCAAATTTGGGCAACTGCTTAAGTCCTTTTCTTTATTTATAAAATATATTTTCTTCTTTATCGCTTCTCTTAGAAATTCACATCAGACAGAGACATTTACCAGTAGAGAAAGAGCCCACTCCCAATTTCCCTTTACTTTTGGATGCACCACTTTCAACTTATAATTACCAACTCTAAATGATTATCTTTTTTATTATTATTTATTCTGTTCCTCAACATTTAATGTAACACTTGTAGCTAATGCCTAATGCCTAATGCCTAATGGTCGGGTAATTTTCAACAGAAATTTCTGGTCACTAAACTTTTATCATCTCTCTCTTTTCTTTACGGAAATATCTACCTCCTGCGATAATATATAATGAGCCACGAAATAAGTCCACAAGCAAGAGACTCCTAAAAAAAGTAAAAATAAAAATGACCAAGGAATATTGAGGTCGTGCATTCTTTTACACGTTTTACAATTTATCAACTATTGACTACTTTCAATTTTCAAAGCCTTGTTGCTCTCTTTTTTCTTTATATTTTGGAGGGGTCAAAAGTATCTTAAAGATAGAAGTTCGAAAATGGAAGGTTACGGGTAATGAACGCCAATCACCACATCCATTTCTAAATGACTATTTTACCTACCGCAGATGACAAGTCCAAATCCACCATTCTATAAGGAGCTAAAAGCAGCCCAGTACTACACTCCCAACTTACACTATCTTTTACCATGTACTTTCTGCTTCTTAAAAGGTAACAAAAATTCATACATTTAATGTCTTTAAATTTTAGATTAAATAGTTAAATTCACTTATATGTTAGCTGGGGATTTTAAAATATTTTGTATTTTAATTTTTTATTTAATAAAAAAAATAACTTTTTTCGATCTTTATAAGAATAAAGTGATATCTCTACCTGTAAATTATGAGTTGAATCTTAATCTTTAATTAAAGAATAAGAATTTATTTTCAATCATCTTATGTTAACGACTTAGAGTGTGTTTAAGAAAAAGTTATGTTCAATGTAACTTGGGAGACAAAAGAGTTACTTTTCCGTTTAGTGTATTGGAATGTGGAAAAGTCATAGATTTCAAACCATAAATCAAACACACACTTTTTTTTCCCATATTTTATTCTTTTATACTTCCGACATATGTATCAACAAATCACATTTTATGTTATAATTGTGAATAAACTGTTAGACACCAATTTCTGCTAGGGAATCATTCGATGACAGCATTAACCTTGCTGGTCCAGTTGCTGAAGAGACAAGTTTTTCAATGAATTACAAGAATTTGGAGAAAGTAACTAAGAAGTAGCAATGGCCATTGGGAGAACATACATCACCTTATTGTTTCATGGATCAAACACAGATAAGTTGTACAATCATTTGACATAAGGAGAGTTTAAGGTTAGACCTTATACCACAAAATATCCACCGACAACTTTCTGACGTTTTCAAATTTTACTTTTCTCCATCCATCCATGAATAGAAAGATTAAAAAAAAAATTAAAAAGAAGGAAAAACATTACATTTTTAAATTAAAAATTGAAAATTTTATATGTCTTCTAACTTTTCCTCCAATTAATCAAATTAAGCCACTTATTTAGATAAATAAAAAATAAAAATAAAAATACGACGATTTGAAGAACTAAATCAATGTAAAAGGAGTGAATTGAACAGGATACAAATATAGGTACCGAGAAAAACAAAATGTAATAGTTGGTAAGGTTGAGAACGAACCCAGAATCAAAAAGAGAGTATGACCGAGGGAGTAGGCGTTACTGAAGAGAAAGCAACTAAGCCTAAATCCTAATCTTGACACTTAACAGGCCTGGGCCTAAGCTTGATTTTGCCAAGCCCGTTCCTCCAGCAGATCACCGAATGATTTTATTTCGGCTTTTCAGCTTCAAAACCAATATAAAAAAAAAATGTT